ATCTACAACTCTGTTGAGCCTGTTCATCTGTCAAATGCTAACTGACAGTACTCCTGAATCACATTTATTGAGAAGGGCACAAGTTGTCTGCGCAGAATGCTTATCACCAGTTACTGATCTTATTTTTGTTAATACAGGGACTTTCAGTTGCTATATTCCATAAATCAGTGTGTGGACACAGCTTAGCTTGAAACCTTTCTGAGGCTAAAACAGGATATGCCACCTCCTGTCCCTCTGCCTTAGAAGTAGGTTGTCTGTTGTATCTGATTATAAAAGCAAATATATGAAGGGGGGAGAATATGTAATTCACTATATAGTAAGTGATTATAAATTTAAGCAAACTGGAAAAAGTGAAAAAACTTTAAATAAAAAAAACCAAAAACCTAACAACTAAAAAATAAAATAATAATAAAAATTTGGTGGAACAAAACTTTCCCAACAAAAAAAAAAAATGAATGAACCGAATTTTTTTTTTAAGAGAACACCTGTCATGTTATTCTGTTTTGTAACCAGCTTTTCTTTTTCTTTTCCTTAAGAATATGTTACTGACATCTTTGTATAGCAGTGAGTAAGGATGTTTTTTGGTCATTACCACCTCCTACTTCTCTCAATTTCTAATTTTTAAGATGACAATTTTATTACAGCTCAGGACATAATAATCACAACACTTTAGTTTTTCAGTTGAAAAAAATTGTTGAATTATGGTTACCCTCGCCAAAAGATAAAGAATGAAGCAATTACATATTCCTCTGCAACTGGTAAAATTTGTCCTGTGAATTAACCATTTAACAAAGCCATTCCAAAGATTAGTTATATCGGATCTGTAATTGTGCTAAGGTTCAGCTGCATCTAAAAAATACCTAATCTTTAATCTTCAGTGAGAGAATAGTGATTAAAATGGGAAAAGACCAACATTTTGCCTGAGAACAGCAATTTGATGTCCACTTCATTTCCTATGCAGCTTTCTCCCTGGTAGCCAAATGCAAGGTGGCAGGAGAAACCAGCTCATAACACTGACATTGTGAGTGGTGACGACTTCTGGCTCACTGAAATCTAAGGTGTTACTTAGAAGATTGGGAGATAGTATATGACATTGCTATAGAGTCAGACTTAAACACATGACACAGATCATTTTTGTGCAAAAAGCATTTTTGCATCTGCCTGTACAGGTAAGCTATTCTGCTATTTTCACAACCTCTAGAAATGTAGAAATGAAGAAACATGTTTCCTATTTGATTACTCTGTAGGCAGTAATAAACTCTCTAAAGTTTATTATAAAGTAAACTTTATAATATTGATAATGACAGTCATATAATCTGAAATAATGATTCAAAAAACTGTAAGTCAATGTTACAGAGACCTCTGATTTTGGTTAAAATAGTCTTTTCGTGTGTTCAGTTGTTGAATTAAAATCCACTTTCTTCCCAAATATCTGGACACATTTTAATCTTGGTTTCCATGCTGTGCCTTTCATCTGTCTAAGACTTACATTGTACACTCCCTGAGACTATGTTCCAGATTCTCTTCAAAGTGCTCTACATACTTACTCATTAGAGAAGGAAGGAAGCAATATGGTCAATTATGCCATTATTGTTTTTTTTTTGCAACTTTGCACTTCAACCTGTTATTGTTCTGAATTCAATATATATGAGTTATTTCCAAGTATTAGAGCCCTTCAAGACCCAGAATTTAGCAATGTGACCTTTAATTGACCCAACTAGGACTTCTTTGCCAGTTGGTGGAGTGGGCTGCCAGTCATTATAGTTTAAAAAGTGGAAATGACTTAAAGTGATTTAAAAAATAGAAATAGTTTCATTATAATTTCAGATATTAGAATCAAGAGGGATTGGGTACAAAGTTTCACAAAGAAAGTGATCATTAAAGTTTAGTTTGAGGGAAATGTCCATGTAAAGAGAACAGATTAAAAATAATATCATGAGCAAAGATGTCAGTTTACAAAAAAGCAGTTTTCAAATTAATTTCTTCATTATAAATACTAAGATTTGCATTTCTAAACTCAGGATTTTAAAACTGGAAAAAACTTCAAGGAATAGTTGAAGTTAATAGTTCAAGTTAATAGTTGAGGAAAACCAAGATTCAGAGAAATAATTGATTTGTCCCAAATCTCACAATGAAATTGGTAGTTAATGCCTTGGAGTAAAATTTAGATCTTCTCCCTTGTAGTGTTTTGCTTTATTTCATTACAGCTCTCTAATCTGTTGGGCTTCTGAGGGTGGCTAACTTCAGGGCTCTTTTTAGCCTATCTTTTTCTAATAGAAAGTATTTGCTTGCCCCCCCACACCCGCCTGCCCCAGGGCTTGGAACAGAAGTCCTTGAATCCTTCTCAGGGTCACTTCTATCTAAAGCACCAAAGTGTGGCAGTGAGGCTGTAGGTTCTTCTCTGGCTATCATTACCCTTGCTACTGTGAATTTTAGATAGGTCGCCTAAACAAATCGTTCCTCAAGAATCTGAGGCAGGAGTCGGGGGTGGAGGGGAGAGCTCATTAAGCAGATGCCTTTTAGAAAATTATTTGCTCACGGCTGTGCTGTGTCTTTGCCGCCACATGGTCAGTGGCTTCTCTTGTTGCAGAGCATGGGCTTCAGTAGCTGTGGCTCCTGGGTTAGAGCCCAGGCTCAGTAGTTGTGGCACATGGGCTTAGTTGCTGCATGGCATTTGGGATCTTCCCAGATCAGGGATTGAACCCATGTCTCCTGTATTGGCAGGTGGATTCTTTACCACTGAGCCATCAGAGAAGCCCAGCAGGTGCCTTCTTATATTTAAGTATAGTAAATATCTAAACAGGTGAATGCCTATAGTAGTAAGCCATGTAATGAACAAAAAAGACCGGATCATTAAATGCTCTAATTAACATATATACGGGCTGATAGCCCTATCATCTTCCTAGAAATATTTGTGATTCTAAAGGAGAATGATACACATCTCTTTTGGGTGTAATTTTAAAAGTAAACATTTCAAGCAGTGGAAAGATACTTAAGTGTGTGCTGGATAAGTCATTTTTGTCTGGGACACAAGCAGCTCCCTTAGGCTTTCCTGCTTTTTATACTCTCCTACCTTCCTGGACTTGTTAACCCAAGCAAGTCCAAAGTTTTTTCTTTGATGGCTGTTGTTGGCAATGGAGATATTATATTCTGCTTAAGCAAGGAAGGTCATTTGGAAGTACAGGTCGCTTATAAATTATAAATTTGTAAATACAGGTATATTTGCTAATTGCATTAACAGAAAAAGAATCAGAAAATAAATTGTTTTTGTTGCTTCTAACTGGTCTAGAATTTCAGAAAGTAAGGGAGCATAACTGGTTACCCAAAACCAGGTCCACTGTTAAAATTAGTGTTGGAGTTTCTTTTTGTAAATCCCTCTTCACTTTACCAGTGCTGATCTCAGACCTCAAACTGTTTCAAAACCATAACATTTCTTAGTGACTGATTGATCTGTATTATATGTCCAGCCATCAGAGGGACCTTGGGATGTTGCTTGTGTAAACTGTAATCCAATCTGATGCTGTGCATTTAGTTACAGTCTTTCATAGACCTATTGGCGATACTCTATCCTTCTGGATTTGAGAGCAGAGCTTATCTGATACCTTCAGGGGGAAAAAAATCCATTCATTTTTCTCTTTTCCCCACTTAAATAACTCAACACATCTGGTAACACTGTAGGATCATTGTCCTTGTAGTTCCTCTGCAGCTTATATTGCTACAATATTTCTTAAGTATTTGGTTACCTAAGGGCAATGCAATTAAAAAAAAAAAAACTTTGTATAGGTCTTACAAATTAACCCATCTGCAGAGCTAGAAAAAAATATCCCTTTAATCAGCAAAATTTCCGTATCAGCAGCCTTGTGTGTGTTAAGCAGGATGAATGTAAATATAAATTTGGAGATAAATGCTTATGTGTTAAAATTTTAAAGCATACCTTTCTATAAATTCATGTCATTTACCTCTAAGAAAATGTTTATTAAATCCAAGGTACCTGAGGTTGAAGTATCTTGTTGTTTGAGTCTGTATCCTTTGGCTTAATAATGTCTTCAATTACAAGAATGATAAAAGCTGAAACAAAATCCTTTAATTCAATCAGAACTGAGCTAAATTTTAGGAAGCCAAGAGTGGGAATTTGATATAAGACTGCATAACATAGAGAGCCAAAAATACAAGATAATAAGACTTGGTAAGAAACAGATAGGGTTGCCTTGAGAATTGTTGTTTGAAATGGCTGCATTGAACGTTATAATAAATACCACTATTTTATCCTCTTGAACTATGATGGTTTATGCAAACAACTGTAAATTGTACTGTAGTTCCAAGGAGACCATTTACTGTTTTCTGCTTGTTTTACATTCTGGAACAAGTTCAAAGCTTTTGATTTTGTTTGATTTTTTTAATAGTCTAAGCCTTGAAAATAATACAGGTTAGATGAATACAATTTTACTATTACAGTTCTATTAACATTTTCAGTGTTGTAGTACATTTGACCCAAGGGCCCTATACCAAATATATCCACAGTACATTTTTAGTGCAACAGAATGAGCACATTAGAAAGGTTAACTCTTCTTTTGCTTTTGCTTTTCTTTCTGTGTTAAGTATGAAAATTGGCATTGTGATGGCTCCCAGAATGGGGATATTGAAAAAGTATCCACCTGACAGAAACAAACATTCAGAAAATAAATTGGGTTAAGATTTTGTTCATTATCTGAAATTTAAACTTATGTTCAATATGGCTATTACTGGATTTTCACATATATTCGTTAAATGCTATGCTTGTAAGATTTTTTTTGTTTAAATTATGACTGGAAAAATTGGATCACAGCTCTAATATCCAGGTGGACAATGCCATTGCCAGGATTTTTGTGCATAACCCCCCCCCCTTTTTTTTCTATCAAACACAATACTCCCTTGCAACTGAGCCTCCTGAGGCAGTCTGAGGTAAAAATGGGGATACATTTTTTAAATTCTTCTGATTTTTTTTTTTTCTTGTTTTTTAGGTTGTGGAACTTATAGCAAGTGCTCTTATGGATTTGGTACAAGGAGTATACTATGAAAATTCTACTTTAGCAAAGGTAAGGATTTGGTACTCATTATAAAATGTTAGATTAAAAACCCACATGGCAGAACTAGAATTGAGCGAAAATGTCATTCTTGTTTTGTGTTTAGATTAGTGTTTTGGCTACAAATTCATGGCCATACGCTTAGTACATAGCAGATTTAGCCAATTAAAACAACCTCTTATCCTCTGGCTGGATTCACAGTCTGCTCCGTCTGCAGCAGCCCAGTAGACACCAGGATGCTTCTGGCTGGCAGGTAGCACTGTCAATAAGGCAGACAGGCTGGAGAAGCAGCTCATGGCTCATGGTGAGGTGGCTGGACCCAGCCTTTCCTCAGAAGAAGAGGCTTTTCATGTCCCAAAAGTGTGGATGTGATCCCAAGAAGGTGACTGTTGGGGGCATAAGGGAGGAATGTCTTTTATATCCAAGATCTAGAATTTACTGCGCTATTAGATTCTCTATGATAAGATGTAGAGTGATTGCATGGTTGGATTATTTTGATTAATTTTATAGATCTAGAATTAAGGTTTTTTGACTCATTTAGCAGGACATCTCAAAAAGGGTTATGTTTTATTTCCTTAAAATGCAGTTATTTCATTTCAGCAGGATATTGAATGTGAAGCAATTGCTTCATTGACCACCACCATCATTTAATATGTTATATGCTATTATAAGGGACTCCTTTATTAGTGTTTCATTATTCTAACTTCTTTAGCTTTCTGCGTTAGCAAGATTCCACTCACTGCAAATTAGAAAAAATATGCATGTATGCACATCTTAAGCTTTTTGACATTTCCATTTGAAAAAAAGAAAGATAAATTTTACTGGAAGTGAAACATAGGGCATGAGCAACCTGGATATGAAATTTTAAATTTAATAGTATAACCCAGGGATTCTGGATGGCTCAGAGAGTGGTTAGTGAAATATGAAGAATTGTACCTTGAACATCTGCTAACATTTGGTTCAGGGAACACAGTTCCTGGCAGGCATATCTTAACTTCACCTAAGTAGCATAGTGCTATGTGGGGATGGGATATATGACCACTGTAGACCCCATTTGCTGTGTTTTTCAAAAACATACCATAGTTCTGTTCCACGGCTGCGGGTAAATAGCAGTTTGTAAAGTGGAGGACCTGGTGTAGTTCCACTCATAAAAAGACACCTCATATAAAGTATGATGAAGGTGATGGTAGGTAAGCACATAATGGGCGTCCCTGGTGGCTCCCGCCAATGCAGGAGACCTGGGTTTGAGCCCTGGGTCAGGAAGATCCCCTGGAGAAGGAAATAGCAACCCACTCTAGCAATCTTGCTTGGGAAATCCCATGGACAGAGGACCCTGGCAGGCTTCAGTCCACTGGGTCGAACAATGTCCGACACAACTTGGGGACTAAACAACAACAAGCACATAACACTATGGTAAGTAATTCATGAGTGTCTTCCTTGAAGTCTTCACAGTAATCCTGCTAGCAGAGACTACTGCTCTGCCCGTTTTATATCAGTGAAAACTGAGGCTTAGAAAAGATTAAGTAATGTGCCCATAGTCATACAACTTGCTAGCTGCGATTTGAACTTAAGAGCTCAGCTCTTAACCTCTCATCCTGTACCTTGATGAAGCCTGATCTGCAAGCATGCCTCTGCCTTACCTGAGATCCCACCACATGTGATGACTGCAGTGACCTCTTCTGGCAGTGTTGGAGAAGGAGATGGCAACCCACTCCAGTATTCTTGCCTGGAAAATTCCGTAGACAGAGGAGCCTGGTGGGCTGCAGTCCATGGGGTCACAAAGAGTCAGACGTGACTGAGTGCGCATGCATGCTTCTGGCAGTTGAAGAATTGTTTTTCCCCTGGGATATTTCTAAGGTGTTTATTAGGTTGGTGCAAAACTAATTGTGGTTTTAGCATTGTCGAAATTTGCTGTTATCGAATACGTTCTTAAATAAATGTGATTATGTTATATATCGGGCTTCCCTAAAAAATCTGCCTGCAATTCAGGAAACCTGGGTTCAATTCCTGGGTTGGGAAAAACCCCTGGAGTAGGGAACGGCTACCCACTCCAGTATTCTGGCCTGGAGAATTCCATGAGCTATATAGGCCATGGGGTCACAAAGAGTCAGACACGACTGAGCAACTTTCACTCACTCACTCTTCTAATACATCATTTTGATGCGCATTTCTTGCTTTATATGTTTTTGCTAATGACTTATTACTTGCTGCTTATTTTATATTTATTTTAGACTGTGGAAATGATGTTAGACAAAAAGCAAATTCTAGCAATTTTCTTATTTAAATTCCAAATGGCTTGGTTGTAAAGCAGCAGAGATAATTTGCAGCATCAACAGTGCATTTGGTCCAGGAACTGCTAATGAACATACAGTGCATTGGAGGTTCAAGAAGCTTTGCAAAGGGGACACGAGCTTTGAAGATGAGGAGCGCAGTGGCCAGCCTTCAGAAGTTGACAACCACCGAGAGTGGTCACTGAAGCTGATTCCCTTACAACTACACGAGAAGTTGCCAAAGAACTCTGTGTCAGCCATTCTATGGTCATTCGGCATTTGAAGCAAATTGGAAAGGTGAAAAAGCTCCATAAGTGGGTGGCTCATAAACTGACTGCAAATCAAAAAAATTGTTCTTTTGAAGTGTCATCTTTTCTTATTTTACACAACAGCAATGAACCATTTCTTGATCGGATTGTGACATGCAAAGAAAAGTGGATTTTATGATAACCAGCGACGACCAGCTCAGTGGTTGGACCGAGAAGAAGCTCCGGAGCACCTCCCAAAGCCAGACTTGCACCAAAAAAGAGTTCATGGTCATTATTTGATGGTCTGCTGCCTGTCTGATCCACTACAGCTTTCTGAATCTTGCAGACACCATTACATCTGAGAAGTATGCTCAGCAAATCGATGGGGTGCACGAAAAACTGCAACGCCTGCGACTGGCATTGATCAACAGAATGGGCCCAGTTCTTCACAACAGCACCCGACCGCATATCACACATCCAACACTTCAGAAGTTGAACAAATCGGACCACAAAGTTTTGCCTCATCCGCCACATTCACCTGCCCTCTCGCCAACCAACTACCACTTCTTCATGTTCTCGACAACTTTTTGCAGGGAAAACGCTTCCACAACCAGAAAGCAGAAATTGCTTTCCAAGAGTTCATCGAATCCCAAAGCACAGATTTTTGTGCTACAGGAACAAACTTATTTCTTGTTGGCAAAATTGTGTTGATTGTAATGGTTCCTATTTTGATTAATAAATATGTGTTTGAACCTAGTTATAATGACTCAAAATTCACGGTCCAAAACTGCAGTTACACTTGCACTAACCTAATAGTTCCATATAAGATACTAATGTTTTGTAGTTAAATATCTGTTAAGTTTTAAGTGAAGTGTTACTGTTCATTTTAAGGTTCTTGACTTATCTACTCTTACCGTTTGTCCACTATAGTTGCTACATTTTATTAATAACTTTGTGAAATTTGTTAAATACTTTCTCTATTTCAGGCAGACCTACTAGCAACAACAATAATAAATGCTTAGCACTTTACAGTTTGCTTATGCTTTCTACATAACCACCTATGAAAAGGGTATAGAGGAAAAAGCCTAAAATTCAGAGATTACAAATGCCAGGAAAGCATAGTGTCTGGAAATGGTTAACGCATGTTTGACAGTGACATGATCTGAACCCAAGTTTTTTTGACTCCAAGTCCCGTATAATCTTTCTTCCTGGGAAAGAGAAGAGAGGTAGCAACAAAGTCTTCGATGAACCACCTGTTAGTGGGCACCAGTTGCTGACTTTGATTATCTAGTAAATTTTACTCAGAAGACTCTAGCAATGCTTTGTTATCTGCCCTCTTTCCCCGCCACCTTCCCAAACACTTCAGAATTTTTGTAAGCAGTTACATTTCTGAATATAGCCAAACCATTTAAAGAGCTGTTCTTTTTTTATAACGGAAACAAAAATGCATAGTTGAACTGAAGCAGTAGAAGTGCTTCTTGATGCCTCCATTTGCTCTCGAGGACCAATTTAGGTTAACCACATTTCCCTTCTTAACCAGAAAAATTCTGGGTTTTTTACCCTCCTTCTGAGTATGCTTTCCATTGCAGTGGTTCTTCAGAATTTGGTTTTTCTAACTTGGCCCAGGAATCACTTCAGAGGCAGAGAGAGCACTGCCCCACATGGAGTGCCTTCAAGGTTTTCATGTTCTGACATGATTGGGAAGCAGCCACAAGTGGAGGTCATGTGGAAAGTGAGTTGCACAACCTCCTCGCCTGGGGCCAATTCGTACACAAAAGAATTGCTTTGTGATTTAAAATGAGCTGCAAACCATTTCATCTCTCCAGGGATAAGAGGATACAATAGTGGTCTGTTTTCTCCCTCCTTAGTGCTCCTTTCTTAGTGCAGTGATGAAGAAGCTGGGTAGTATAAAATAGCTTTCTGTGGAGTAGTATCTCTGTGACTAGAGTAGATGCATTAAAACAAATGGAGGGGAGTTGTAACTAAATATGTTAAAAAATCACCTTCTCTGGAAGTCTGTAGAGTAATTACCTAATCCTCCTTAAAACTATGAAAATTTATGTGACTTATGTTAGTAATGCTTAACAGATTGTATGTAAATTGGGATTCAGTGTTATTTAGAAAATTCATCCTTGTTCTATCCTTTGCAAATAACATTTTTATTTTTGTATTTTTGCTAGTTTGTGAGCCATTTTTTCCTTGCAATAAAAATTATTCAGTGCTTTTTTTAGTGTTTATATCTTTCTTCCCTTTACCTGTTTTTTTCTTTTCTTGTTAACTAGTTAAACAAAGAAGCACATCAGTTTTTAAAATACACTTTTAATGGTCATTTGCCATGCTAAAAGTTCCCTAGTTAACTTTCTATTTATATTATTCACTATGAATACTAAATATTTTATAGTTTAGCTAAAGTTGCTTTGAATCCATAGGCCATTATATCTAAAATCTTTTTAACACAATTATGTTATTATTATAACTTAGTTTCTAATTAGAA